AATGGCGTCTAGAGGACTTTCCTGGGCTCTGATCCTCCTCCTTGTGCTTCCCCACACCATTGGGGATGACAGACATGTACCACTGTTCCAAGGCATTGGTTGAGATCCAATCTTCAAACTTAGGCCTAAGCTGGCCTCAAGCTCAATTTCCAATCTCAACCTCCCAAGTAGCTAGGTTTACAGGTATGTTAAGGGAACCATACCTGGCCTATCCAGGGACAAATGTAAAAATGAATGAGTGTATCAATTTGAGACAAGAACATTTTTATACTTTATAAGTCACTACTTGTGTAATTATATAGCCAACTTTCAAATCGTTTTTATCTAATGTATATAGTTAAGCATGATTAAAGTCTCTGAAGAAAACTGCATTGAAGGATATACATATATGCAGATGTATCCATATATATCCATTCTTATACATATATGAATGCACATTTACATGTATCTGTTAATTCTGGTATATTTATTAAAGATAAAATTTAAAATCATGGATTTCAAATGCTCTATAAAGCCTAAGGAATCATTCCCTCTGTTTCAGAAGAACTAACCTTGGAGATCTATATATGAAAGACAATTTCATTATTTACTAGAAACACTCAGGAAAGAGCTAAAAACAAGAAAAGCTAGGAAAAAGTGATCAGTTAGTTGGGAACCAAACACAGTGTCTGGGATATCATTCCCACCATGTGACAGAGTGAGCTAGGATAAGGGATTGCAAGGGATTAAAAAAAAACCCACTTGATGGCTCATACTTGTAATCCTAGCTACTTGGGAGGTGAGATCTGAGGATAGCAGTTCAAAGCCAGCCAGGGCAGGAAAGTCTGTGAGACTCTTCTCTCCAATAAACCACCAGAAAATCAAAGTGGCATTGTGGCTCAAGTGGTAGAGCACTCGCCTTGAGCTGAAGAGCTGAGGGACAGTGCCCAGGCCCAGAGTTCAAGCCCATGCCTGACAAAAACAAAAAAAACACTTGAAATACAGTAACAACAACAAAAAATAGGCAGGGGGCCTTGAAAAACAGGCTAGAGAAAAGGAAATAGAGGCCAGGATGGGTAATGGTGAGGAGAAATCTCATCTTTGTGAGGGAAAACATAAAACAATTCTCAGCAAACACAAATCAAAATAATATTGAGCCAGGTGCTGGTGGCTTATCCTGCAATCATAGCAACTTAAGAAACTGAGATGTGAAGATCATGGTTTGAAGCCAGCCTGTTGAGTCTCTGGGAGACTCATATACAATTAACAACAAAAAGCAGAAAGTGGAGGTCTGGCTTAAGTGACAGAGTACCAGCCTTGAGCAAAAAAGCCAAACAACGGTACATGGCCCTGAATTCAAGCCCCAGTACTGGCACATACATACACAAAATATTAAAATAACTACTTCATACTCCCTAGGATAACTATGGTAAGAAACTGACAACAAGTGTTAGTACCGATGTGGAGACGTTGGAACTCTTGAACACTGTAAAAAAATAAGATTGTAAAATGTCCATCTGTACTAGAAAACAAAAGTTTAAATATAGAAGCGGGGCATGGTAGCACACATTTATAATCTTCACACCTGGAAAGCTTGAGGGACAAGGATTGAGTCCAGCTTGGCTACAAAGTGAGAACTGGTCTCAAGAAATCAAACACCCAAAACAAAAAAGGTTAAATGTAGATATGAGACTGAAATTCTCCTTCTAAGTATATCCTCCAGTATATTTTCTTACATAAAATCTGTGACTACATAAAAGTTTGTAAATGCTATTTACAGTAACATTATCCATAATAACATATTAAGCCACCAAATGTTCAACTTATGAATGACTAAAGAATGTGATATATATACCTAAAGTGAAATATTTTCTATCTATGTAAAAGGAAAACGTTACAATGTAGGTGAACCTGGAAAACACTAGGTTAAATGAGATGAGCCCAATACAAAAGCTCGTGTGTGTGTGTGCGTGTGTGTGTGTGTGTGTGTGTGTGTGTGTGTCTTGCTGTGGATTGAACCCAGGGCCTTGCTGATATTAGGCAAGTACTTTACTATTGAACTATACCTTCAACTCCCCCAAAAGGCTATATTTTGTATGATTTGTATTTATATAAAATGTATAGGGTAAGGGCTGGGAAGTTGGCTCAGTGGTAGAGTGCTTGTCTTGCATGCATGAGGCCCTGGGTTTGATTAATCAGCACCACATAAGCAGAAAAAAAAGCCAGAAGTGGTGCTGTGGCTCAAGTGGTAGGGTGCTAGCCTTGAGCTGAAGAGATGAGGGGCAGCGCCCAGGTCCAGAGTTTGGGTCCCATGACCAACAAAACAAAAACAAAACAAAAAACCATATAGGGTAAGTAAAGTCATAGAGACAAATTACCTTAATGGTTGCCTGGATCTGGGGGGAGAGAATATGGAATGACTGCTGCTGTTGCTACTGCTAGTAGAGTTTTTTCTTGGGGTGATAAAAACCTTCAGAATTAGATATTGGTTATAGTTGCACAAGTTTCTGAATATACCAAACACCAGTAAAAAAATTTTTTTTGGGTCCCGTTGTGGGGCCTGAACTCTGAGCCTAGGTGCTGTCTCTCAGCTCTTCAGCTCAAGGCTAGCACTCTACCACTTGAGCCATAGCACCACTTCCAGCTTTTTTCTTTTTGCTTATGTGGTGCTGAGGAATCGAACCCAGGGCCTCATGCATGCAAGGCAAGCGCTCTACCACTAAGCCACCTTCCCAGCCCCAGCACAAGTAAATTTTATACTTTTAAAAGGTGTACAAATTTTATGTGTATAAATTATATACTTATTTGCAGTACTGGAAATTGAAAACAGGGTCTTGCCCATACTAGGCAAGTGCTCTAATACTGAGCTATAGCCATAGTTCAATATATCTCAATTTTTAATTAAATATGTATATGATCTGTGCACTGCAAGATACAAAACACTGATGAGATAAAGAAGATAAAAGGATTCAAGGGAACAGAAAGATATAGGCTCATGGATCTGAGGATTCATATTGTTAAAATATAACTTCTTAAGTTGATCTGAAGAGTGTATACCATATTATTAAAGTTCTAGCATGCATATATGTCAGAATTGGTAGTATGATGCTAAAATGTGTATGGAAACACAACGAATAACTTTGACCAACCTCCCCCAAAGTTGAATTATTTCTATTTTCTATTTTTAAGAAATGTTTAAGTTAAATATCCAAAAATGTGGTAGCGGCTTCAGAATTGGGTAATAAGCAGAATTTCAATTAGCTACAGGTAATTGTCCTAAAAATAAACATATACATTAATGGAGTAGACACACACAAACTGATTTTTTAAAATAAAAAAGTCAATCTAATTCAGTAAGGAAATAGCTATCTTTCACCAATGGTTCTGGAATAACCAGATGCACATTAGGAAATTAAAATTACCCTCATCTCATAATATATACAAAATGAGCATCAATAGATCATAAATCTTAGGGGTAGGAATGTGTCTTAGTGGTAGAGTGCTTGCCTAGCATGCATGAAGCCCTGGGTTCAATTCCTCAGTGCCACATTAACAGAAAAAGCCAGACGTGGTGCTATAGCTCAAGCGGTTGAGTGCTAGCCTTGAGCAAATGAAGCTCAGGGACAGTGCTCAGGCCCTGAGTTCAAGACCTAGGACTGGCAAAAAAAAAAGATAATAAATCTCAATATAGAACCTAAACCTATAAAATCTTTAGAACAAAGGATAGGAAATATATTTTGAGACAGACAAAGATATGGAAATAAAACTAAAATCTTTAGAACAAAGGGTAAGAAACATATTTTGAGACTTTAAAGCAAAGATAATGCAAATAGATATTTTATATATTATCATAAAATTATAGAAGAAAATGATGAATTGGCCTGCAGCAATTCTTTTTAACTTCTGCCTTTCATAAAATCTTGTTAAGAAAATAAAAATACCTAGTATAGATTGGGAGAAAATATTTACAATACACACATCTCATAAAATTCAAATTCATAAATACACAAAATTCAAGATACATAAAGAACTCCTACAACTCAATATAAAGAACACATAGCGGGGCTGGGAAGGTGGCTCAGTGGTAGAGTGCTTGCCTTGCATGCACGAGGCCTTGAGTTTGAATCCTCAGCACCACATAAACAGAAAAGGCTGGAAGTGGCACTATGGCTCAAGTGGTAGAGCACTAACCTTGAGGTGAAAAGCTGAGGGACAGCGCCCAGGCCCAGAGTTCAGGCCCCATGACCTACCAAAACCAAACCAAACCAAAACAACACATAGGACCCCATTAAAATGAGGCAACAATTTGAACTCATGATTTGCAACAGAATATATACAAGTGGACAATGAGTACATAAAAATTATCCATTGTTATTAGACAACCTTTAAAGGCAATTAAAACCACACCATAACATAGGCACTAGGAGCACATTGGCACTTGCTTTCATTTCCTTATGCTTGATTACTTTTGCTACCATTTCAGAGGCTGATCATAAAGAGGGAAACCATGTGTTGTATACACTAGAGCCTACATCTTACTAGGTTTTTTTTGGGGTAGTAATTTATTATATTCAGTGAAGTTTGAGCTACTCCTAGCTTCACCATTGGTTGACTCCATAAACCCACCACTGATCATCTAAGTGCTTAGACTAGTTGTTTCTTTATGATTCTTTTTTCTTTCTTTAAAGAAATAATCCAAGGCTGGGGGTATAGCTCAAGTGATGGAAGGCACCTGCATAGCAAGCATAAGGCCCTGAGTTCAATCTCAGCGACCATCAAAACAAAGAAACAATCCACTTAATTACCTTCACATTAATTATTCTCTTGGGGGAAGAACTGAACAGAAATATATCCTCTGTATTTGTTCTTCCAATGTAATTGGTTGAGTTTTTTTGGGGAAAAACCAGCCCAGTAAGAAGATAGTAACAAATGATTAATTTGTTAATAATTTAATTTATTGCTCTAATAAATGTTGAAAGTGTAAATGACTTAACATGTTATGCATCAGAACTTTAAAATACCTGCATTCTCTGTTCATCACCCATTGTTTTTCCAGGGCTTCTAAGTTGCTTATACTTTGGAGATTCACACATCTCACTTTTAAGTTTTTCAACCTTAAATAGAAAAGCAAAAATCAGTCAGACATCTCAATTCTTGTTTGACTACAGTATTGCTTTATTTAAAAAATTATGTAAATGACATGCAAATACATTCTCCATAAAACTTCAACAAAACATAGGCATATAGAAAAAAAGGTAGCACCAGATAGCTCATGCCTGTAATCCTAGCTATGCAGGAGGCTGAGATCTAAGGATCTCAGTTCAAAGCCAGCCCAGGCAGGAACATCCATGAGACTCTTAGCTCCAATAAACCACCAGAAAAACTGGAAGTGGCTCTGTGGTTCAAGTGGTAGAGTGCTTGCCTTGAGCTGAAGAGCTGAGGAATAGCGGCTAGGCCCAGAGTTCAAACCCAATGACAGAAGAAGAAGAAGAAGAGAAAAAAAAGAAAGAAAGGTAGCATTTCCTTCATATCACAATTCTTTTTCCATAACTGACAGTTGTTGAAATGTGCTCTGCTGGAGCTGTTTCATGTATGTGCGTATGTGTGCATATGTACATACACACACTTTTACATTTATATTAAATATATAAATATACTTGTAAGTATTCTATATATAAACCTATGGTGATTAAGGTAATCCAGGAAAATCTCTATTTGTTTATTCCTTTTGATGATTACATTTTTATTTTGGTTGATTGTGGGGCTTGATCTCAGGGCCTGGGCACTGTCCCTCTTTGTGCTCAAGGCTAGCGCTCTACCACTTGAGCCACAGTCCCATTTCTGATTTTTGAGTGGTTAATTGGAGATAAAAATGTCACAAGGACGTTTCTGCCCAGGCTGGCTTTGAACCGAGATCCTCAGATCTCAGTCTTCTGAGTAGCTAGGATTATGGATTATAGGTGAGCCACTGGCCCCTGGCTGATGATTACATTTTTTTACTGTTACAAAACACACATAACATAAAATGTATTATGTTAATAATTGTAACTATTCAATGGCAGTAAGAACACTCAGACTGTTGTACACTATTCACCCATGTTGAGAGCTCTTTTTCCTCATTGCATTGAAAGGCTATACATATTACATAATAACTCCCAGCATGCATTCTCCCTGGTCCCTGGAAACTGTCATTCTACTTTCTGTTTCTATGATTTTCATATAAGTAGAATCCCAGGGATTGGGGTGAAGCTCAAGGCATAGAGCACTTGATAAGTGAGTGTGAGGCCCTGGGTTCAATCCCCACTGCCAAAACCAAAACCAAAAAAGTTCAATTGTACACTGTTTCCTTTTGTAATTGGCTTATTTCATTTAGAACAATCTCTTCACAGCTTACTCATGTTATAGCATAGGTCAGAAATTCATTTCTAAGACTGGTAATATACCATTGTATGTATATACCACACTTTTCCATTCATTTGACAATGGACACTTGAGTTACTTCATCTTGTGGCTATTGTAAATAACGTTGCTTTGAACACGAGTGTACAACAGTATGCCTGAGTCCCTGCTTTCAATTAATTTAGTGTATGAAACCACAAGTAGAATGATCAGATTACATGGTAATTCCACACTGACTTTTCTGGAGAATTTCAGTTCTGTTTCAATAGTGACCATGGTACTTGCCCCCACTAGCTACAGCAATGTGCAAGGTTCCAAATCTCCTGCATCCTCACCAACATTTATTATTTCCTTGTCTTATTAATCATCATCCTAATTGGGATAGTTACTCATTTTTAAAACAAAATTTCTTGTGCACCTTGTATTATGCCAAACTTTGTGTTAGACAGTAGAGATATGACTGTGGAGTATAAACTCAAGCTGAGGAGACATAATCTATCTGGAACTTAAAAAATACATATTAAAATCAATACATTGCTAACAAATAAATTGTTTGAAAAGAACACAGGGTTTAGTACTAACAATATCATACTTATCCCAAGTAATGTTTTTTCTTGGTACATGTGTTAACTGGAAATTATTACCTAGATTCATACAGTATCAATAATTGTTTAGCATAGGTAGCTCATACATAAAATATAAGCATTGAAAGAATCCATCTAGGTCAAAGCAGGGTACCTATCTGAGATGTAGCTATCAGTATCATCTCGCATTTAGCTGACCAGTATCAAGCTTCTGATAGTTATTGTACATATCAAATAAATCCCAAGAACTAAATGAAACTTACCATTTCTTCCAGCACTTTTTTTTCTGAGTCAAGTGACCGAACACGATTTCTTAGAGCCAGAACTTCCTCATCCAGTCTCTGATTATGTTCTTTTGCTTTCTGTAGGTCAACTGCATCTAAAACAGAGGGATAAACACCATTCACTCATGTAGATCACAGCTGTAGCTGTGAGGCACTAGCTCTCAAAGCTGTCATTTCTAGCCCTCTTGTCACTCCTACCATGCTCTGCACAAGTGGCTCTCTGCACAGGACAGCTACTAGATACAAGTTCAGTCACTGAAAGTGTTGTACTTCTCACATTACCTTAGTGAGTTGGACTTCTCGAGAGCAGAGTTTCCAGCAATAGTGGCTCTTCTAAGAAATAGAATTTTAATACTTATGCCTATTATTGTCTCCTTAGTGGCTAGGAGAGGGCCTGGAGGCTGGAAAGAGCTAGGATGGTCTGGGCATATGGGGATACTTGGAAGATTCAGGAAAATAGCTACTTATACTTTAAAAAATGACTCCGCCATTATCACAAGTCTGTTGCCATAATAGTGTGTGCCAGCTCACGGCAGTCCTGGGGCACACATGGGTGCATGCACACCTAGCATAAATACAAAACCCAAAGAAAATATCATTACACACACCACTAGCCTACAACTTGTTTTCTTTATGTGGGAATATATCACGAAATGGATATATGTCAATGCATAAAGTTCTTGTTTTTTCATGTCTTTTTCTTAATTGAAAAGGTGATGAACAGGAGGGTTACAGTTATATAAGTAAGGCAATAAGTACATTTGTTTTTAATCATTGTTACCTCATCCTTCTTTATCTCCCACTTATCCCTTCTTATCCCCTCCCCTAGTTGTAATGTTAAAATCCAACATAGTGTCAAATGAATATCAATGTTGTGGTTCATCCGTTGTTCTGCTGTTTCTGTGATTCCCTTTCCCTTTCACATATTGTGTTGTCTATTATGCAAAATATGACATAAAAAAACTAAAAGAAATGAAGAAAGAAAAAACAATAAGACACTATGTTGAAAACGAACTTTACAACTTTGGCGTGAGTTGGGGGGAGAGTAGTTGTGGAGGTGGGAAGGAAGGGATGATAGGGGAAAAACAAAGAGGAAGCAACAATGCTCGATAGGAAATGTACTCATTACCTTGCTCATGTAACTGTAACCCCTCTGTACAATATTTTTACAATAAAAATCATACAAAAATACAGAAAAAAGAATAAACTGTATACAGGGTCTAATGAGAACCTCTTGTTTCCGTAAGTTGTAGTTCATGTTAATATGCTTCATAATATATAGTCCTATGCATTAGCACTTTGGTTATTGAGATTCCCTGTTAAGAATATCATATATATTTTCTAGTTCTTGACAAATGAGGGAGATCATGCCACCTGTGTTTTTTTGGGTCTGGCTTACTTCACTTAATATAATTTTTTCCAAGTCTTTCCATTTCCTTATGAATGGAACAATGTTATTCTTTCTGATGGAAGCACAGAATTCCATTGTGTATATGTGCCACATTTTCTTGATCCATTCATCTACTGAGGGGCATTTGGGTTGGTTCCATATCTTGGCTATGGTAAATAATGCTACAATGAACATCATCGTACTGGTGGCTTTAGTGTAGCCTTGTTTGTGACATTTGGGTAAATTCCCAGAAATGGGATTGGTGGTTCATAGGGGAGCTCTATGTGTAGTCTTTTTTTGGGGGGGGGTCCAGTCATGGGGCTTGAACTCTGGGCCTGGGCGCTGTCCCTCAGCTCTTCAGCTCAAGGCTAGCGCTCTATCTACCACTTGAGCCACAACGCCACTTCCAGCTTTTTTCTGCTTATGTGGTGCTGAGGAATCAAACCCAGGGCCTCATGCATGCTAGGCAAGCACTCTACCACTGAGCCAACTTCCCAGCCCCTATGTATAATCTTTTAAAGAACTTCCACACTGCTTTCCAGAGTGGTTGAACAAGTTTACACTCCCACCAACAGTGTGGTAGCATTCCCCTTTGGTCACATCCCTGCCAGCATCTGTTGTTAGAGTTCTTGATTATGGACATTCTAACTGGTGTAAGGTGGTCAATGTATAAAGTTCTATGACATATATTTTTTATTCATGGGGGATTTAAGCTAGGGCCTTTGTGTGGTAAGAAAGTGTTCTACTACTGAGTCACATCTGTCTATCAATCTGTCTATCCTTCCTTCCTTCCTTCCATTTTGGCACTGTTGGGATTTGGCTCAGGACTTCTTTGCTTGCTAGACTAGAGTTCTAATCACTTGAGCCATGCATCTAGCTTGCTTTTTGCTGGTTATTTTCAAGATGGAGTCTAGTAAACTTTTCTCCCTGGGCTGGCCTTGAATCATAATCCTCTGCATCTCAGTTTTTTGAGTAGTTAGAATTAAGGTGTGAGCCACTAGTATCTAGATGTTATCCTTGCTAAATGCTGCAAGATAATCATTGTGAAGTCACTTTTTAACTACCTCTTCTGTGTGTGTGCATGCATGCACACACCCTTGCACATGTGTACATATGTGCATATACACCAGCACTAGGTCTTGGACTTAAGGCCTTGAGCTCTCCCCTGACTTTTTCACTTATGACTGGTACTATACCACTTGAACCACACCCCCAATTCTGGTATTTTGCTGGCTAACTGGAACTAAGTCTTGAGATTTGTCCACTTGGGCTGGCTCTGCACTGAGATCCTCAAGTCTTAGCCTCCTGAGTGGATTATGGGTGTGAGCACTTATACGTTCTAGATATGTCGATTTGACTATCCAACAAGCTATTTGCTTACACAGTGTACTTTCACAAGTGGGTCCCTAACTCACTGGAATTTTGGTAATGTTGTTGTCTGGTTTTGGTATCAGAGTAATGCTGATCCCTTAAGCTGAGTATTAGTGAATTTATGTAAAATTACTATTATTTACCGCTCACACATTTGTTAACATTCACTAGTAAGTCCTTCTAACTTTAGGACTTTCTTCATGCATTATTTTATTTGGTGGTAGTGTGATTTGAACTCAGGGCCTCTCATTTGCTAGGCAAAAGTGTTCTACCACTTCAGTCATGCTCCCACCCCATTGTTATTCTTTCGTTATTTTTCAGATGAGGTCTCATACTTATGTCCAGGCCTGAAATCAAATTGAGATTATGAGTATAATCTACAATGTCTAGCTTATTCCTTGAGATAGCCTCTTGTTAACTTTTGGCCAGGGTAAGCCTCAATCTATGATCTTGCTATCTTTGCCTCTTAAATAGCTGGGATTATAGGCATAAGCTATTATACTTGGTCCTTCATTGAGTATTTTTAACTACAAGTGCAACTTTTAGTATAGCTGGGGATATTCAGTTGAATTTATCTTAATATCACCTTTCTGTTCACTCTGGGTTTGTTTTACTTCTTCTGGGTTTTGGGTATACATTTAGATCACTTCGTGTCCTTTCTTAATTTTTAGGATGAACAGTAACTACTCTATGATTTCTTCTAAGCACAGAATTAGCTGTGTTCTACATGCTGATAGTCTCATAGTTTAATTTTCTTTATCTCAAAATATTTTCTGATATCTTTTGCCTTTTTTCTTCTGAGGACACAAGCTTTAAGAATCTTATTTTTTAAATATTTAAGGGTTTCCCAGATGGATTTCCATTACTGATTTTTTTAATTTAATTTAATTTTATTTGTGAACAGAGGGGTTACAATTACATGGGCAGGATAATGCGTACATTTCTTACCAAGCATTGCAGCCTCCTCCTTTGTTTACCCATCACATCCCTTCCCAGCCTACCCCCCTCCCCCCCATTACTGATTTTTTGTTTCATTATAGTAGAAGGTAAAATTTGTATGATTTCAATTCGTGTTTTATGACCCAGTTTGGTGCTGTTCTGTGACAAGGTAGAGTTTTGATATAGTCTGATAGAGTTTTGTATAAATATCAATTAGACTATATTAGATAATAGTAGTTTTACGTCTGTCATATCATTGCTGATTTATTTTTCCTGCCTCATTGAGATTTTATTTTTAGTCCTAGCTCAGAGAGCAGTGCTGATTTTATAACTATATTAATATATTTTGAAAAGGAGGGTATAACAATTTTGGACTTCTTTAAAACTGATAAACATATTTTACATTCTTTTTGTAGTTGTTACCATTGATAGCTGTTATTGATAGTTGGTAGCATTTTATCTAGTCAATCTACACTCATATTCTATAGTCCAACCAATTAATTCAACACTGATTCCATGCCTACTGGCCTCCAGTGAAAGGATATGTATGAAATATTGTTAAATGTACTATTGGTCCTGATGGTCCTAATAAATATGTGTTATTCCTCAAAAGACTTCACATAGAACTCCCCTATGACCCAGCAATCCCACTTTTGGGCATTTACCCAAATGCTTACAAACAAGACCACACTAAAGCTACCATATTTTCCATAGCTTAGGATATGGAACCATCCCAGATGCCCCTCAGTAGAAGAATGTATCAAGAAAATAGGGTATATATACACAATGGAATTTTATGCTTCCATCAGAAAGTATGACATTGCCCCATTTGCTAGGAAATGGAATAACTTGGAAAAATTATACTAAGTGAAGTAGGTCAGGCTCAATGTAACATAGGTCCCATGGTTTCCCTTATTTGCAATATCTAGTATAGGTAATAGTCAAGCGGAAAAGGTCAGATAATGTGATGTCAGGAACATGAACCTTTAGATATGTATTTTAATGTTTGTCATGCCATGCATGTGTGTATGAGGCATGTATAAGATTATGTCTATGTTGCTTTGTAAGTCCTTCCGCCCTCAGTATAACCCTTGCTTTCAGTATATTAGATGTCAGTATAACTGGTGGAGGAGATGGGGAAAAACCAGTTGTTTAAGGATACAGGTGAATCTGATGCAACAATGAGAAGTACAAGTTGTCATGTCCAAAACGAGCTAAACAACGTCGGTCGATGCGGGGGGGGGGGGAGGAAAGGGGTGGGGGGGAGGGGGGAAGGAGAAGGATTGGGATGGGGGGGAGGGGAGAGGCTGGGAAGGGATGGGAAGGTTAACAAAGGAGGAGGCTGCAATGCTTGGTAAGAAATGTACGCATTATCCTGCCCATGCAATTGTAACCCCTCTGTACAGTATGTTCACAAATTAAATTAAATTAAATTAAAAAAAAAAGGAAAAAAAAGAGCTGGACACCAAAAAAATGTGTTATTTGTGCTGATCATGGTGATTTTTAATGAATTAGTTTATTAATTATCTTTAAGTAGTTGTACAGAGGAGTTTCATTTCCACATGTCAGTTTAGGAGTACGATGCATCTTGATCAGTGTCCGTCCTTTCACCATTTTCTCCCATCTCTCCCAACCCTTGGCTATGAAGAATTCAAATACCTGTTCTGACATCTCATGTAGCTAATGGGTAGCACACCTGGCCCTATGACAATTCAGTTTCCTTACCTAAGAAAGGAGGATAATAACACTCACTGAGTGGGATGGTTGTGAGGATCAGAGGTCATACATAAGAAATCTCTGCAGAGTGCCTGTACAGAGTAAGCAGGCAACAGCAACAGCAGCAGGGAAGCTGATTGTTTGTATTATTATTATTTGCCAGTCTTGGGGCTTGAACTCTGGGCCTGGGTGCTGTCCCTGAGCTCCTTTTTGCTCAAGGCTAGCTATGTACCACTTGAGCCACAGTGCTACTTCTGGCTTTTTCTGTAATTAATTGGAGATAAGAGTCACATAGACCTTCTTGCTCAGGCTGGCTTTGAACCACAGTCCTCAGATCTCAGCCTCCTGAGTAGCTAGGATTAAATAGCCATGAGCCACCAGCACCCAGCTTATTGTTTATATTATCAAGCAGCGTTACTTACAGCATCATTTAACAGTGAAACCTAATTATTCTGTCTGCTAGAAGAACTTACCACTTTCTTTCAGTTTCATCAGACTTTCTTTCAGTTTCTCAATTTCAAAGTGAGCCTTCTCAAGTGCAGACTCTGAAAATAAAAAAAGAAGAAATCTTTGTGTAAGAAACAAATGATTAGTATAGTAAGAAAATTTCAAATGACTCTGTCACTTTTTAAAGCACTGTCTTTTGAGTTTTGGCATGAATGTCACTTCCTCTAGGAAGCTTTTAGGATTTCCCTCTTGGTGCTCCTACTGTATTCTACATTTTCCCCATCACTGAACAACTCATTCCAGAATTGCCTCTTCCTCACTCTTTTACCACCCAATGACATGCTGAAGACTTCAGATCACTGAAAGTAATGGGCACAGCGGCAAGTTTGAAAGCATGGTTCTATTTGTGTAATAAGAAATAATTAAAAACAACCTTTGCAAACAATAGAAGTCATGCATCACTTAACAATAGGGAGATATTCAGGGAAACTGGAGATTTTATCATTGTATAAGTATTACAGAGTATATTTTACTGTACACAATGTTATTACATAATATAATCTTGGGGACTGTTGTTGTATATGTAAGTGCTGACATAGAAAACCACTGGGACACATAGTCACATAGAAGAAAGAAGTGTTTAACATCAGCTAGGGGCTGACAGGCTATCTCTCCCGGGATAGAGAGAAACAAACTTCTCTCACAGCAGTAGAGGTAGATATAGTGTCAGGAGTCTGAGAGCAGAAGAAGGGGGTGGGGCAGGAAATCTTCATAGACATAGCTGGACACCGTAAATATCAGACAGCCAGGGCAGGGCATTCTATAGCTGGCACGTAGCAAAGTCAATACACCTTACAGTTGTCATATAGCCTGGGAAAGCACCCTACAGCAGAGAAAATACATTTTATAGCTGGCATCTTGTACTTATACACTAGAACCAGCATGTGACTGGGACTGGGCTTCTAGACTATATTACTGATGCAGCAGGGGTCAGTGGGAATAGGCAACTATGGACAGGCTTGGCCTGTGGAGAACCCAGGGTAAAGGCTGTCAACCCAAAATAGGAGTGAATAAGCTTATAGTATATAAAATCTGTCATTGATGTGGCACATGACTGCACTAAAAATTTTGCAAATAGTTGCTTCAAATGCCCAAAAAACAGATTTTCAGTAAACAGCTTTTGGTAACAGTCAAGAATTATACAAGGGGGGCTGGGAAGGTGGCTCAGTGGTAGAGTACTTGCCTTGCATGCATGATGCCCTGGGTTCAATTCCTCAGCAACATGTATAAACAGAAAAAGCCAGAAGTGGAGCTATGGCTCAAGTGGTAGAGTGCTAACCTTGAGCTAAAGAGCTGAGGGACAGTGCCCAGGCCCAGAGTTCAGGCCCCATGACTGACAAAAAAGAAAAAAAGAAGACATGTGATATTACATTAGAGTCAATTGGATCTGTGTTTACTAATCGAGTATCCTTTGCCAGCAGATGAGGGGCAGCATTGTCAGGATGAAAGATCTTCTAAAAGGAAAAGACACACGTGATTGATTGATTGATTGATATGCCAGTCATGGGGCTTGAACTCAGGGCCTGAGTACTGTCCCTGAGCTTTTTTGCTCAAGCCTAGTGTTCTACCACTTTGAACCACAGGGCTACTTCTTGTTTTTTGGTGGTTAATTGAAGATAAGAGTTTCAAGGAGTTTCCTGCCTGGGCCGGCTCTGAACCACAGTCCTCAGATCTCAGCCTCCTGAGTAGCAAGCATTACAGGCAGGAGCCATGAGCATTGGCACACATGACCTTGTAGATCATTCTGGATCACAGAATGATCTATTTTGTTTTTAGGTCTATTTTGTTTTTATGCTCACAACCCTTGGTTCTTTTGATCAAATCCCATGATACCTATTGCATTATTTTCTGATGTTGTATAATAATTGACCATAAACAGTTGCTCAAAATAACATCTATCTATTAGGTCACATTTCTGTAGGTCAGAAATGCAAGCATTTATTGCTGTTTTCTCTGGCTGGAGTCTGACAAGGCTGAAATCAAGGTACTGGGCAGGTTGTGCTCCTCTCTGTAGTCTTTGGGGGAGAATCTACTTCCAGGCTGATTTGGGTTGTTGGCCCAATCTAGTCCTTGAAGTTGTGGAGCCAGCTCCTTTTCAACCATCAGCTGACCATATCTCTTGATTTTTAGAGGTTGACAGCATTCTTTGCCTTATGGTCTCTTCCATCTTTAAAGTCAGCAATGGAGAATCTCCCTTGTGTTAAATTCTTTTTTTTTGGGGGGGGGGTCCAGTCGTGGGGCCTGAACTCTGGGCCTGGGCGCTGTCCCTCAGCTCTTCAGCTCAAGGCTAGCGCTCTACCACTTGAGCCATAGCGCCACTTCTGGCTTTTTTCTTTTTGCTTATGTGGTGCTGAGGAATCGAACCCAGGGACTCAGGCATGCAAGGCAAGCGCTCTACCACTGAGCCACCTTCCCAGACCCCTCTTGTGTTAAAATCTAATCACACTTTGACTCTCTTTTGCCTAATTTAAAAATATTTTCATCACCCATAAAGAAATCTCCTGTCCAGTAGATCTCTAGTCTCACAACTAGTCCCAGGCAATTACGAATCTACTTTCTCCTCCTCTCTTCTTCTTCTTCTTCCTTCTTCTTCTTCCAGTTGTGGGACTTGACTCTGGGCTTGGGAGCTGTCCCTGCCCTCTTCAGCTCAAGGCGAGCATTCTACCGTGTGAGCCACAGTGCCACTTCTGGTTTTCTAATGGTTTATTGGAGATAAGAGTCTCCTGGCCTTTCTTGCCTGGGCTGGCTTTGAATGGTGATCCTCAGATCTCAGCCTCCTGAGTAGCTAGGATTACAGGTGTGAGCCACTGGCGTCCGGCAGAATCTACTTTCTATCTGTAGATTTGCCTTTTCTGGATGATTCAGATAATTTTTTTTACATAATACATGATATTTTGCATTTATTTATTTGCATTTATGGCTTTGAGATTCACCCATATAGTAGGTATAAAATATTTCAGTTCTTTTAACTGACAAATGTAGTATTCCATTGTATGAGTGTCAGGGGTCCCCATGATCAGCCATAGGTTTGGTGACTTTTTAAAAGGATCCACATGGGCTGGGAAGTTGGCTCAGTGGTAGAGCGCTTGCCTTGCATGCCTGAGGCCCTGGGTTCAATTCCTCAGCACCACATAAGCAAAAAAAAAGCCGGAAGTGGCGCTGTGACTCAAGTGGTAGAGCTCTAGCCCTGAGCTGAAGAGCTGAGGGACAGCGCCCAGGCCCAGAGTTCAGGCCCCACGACTGGACCCAAAAAAATTAAATAAATAAATAAATAAAAGGATCCACAGGACTCAACATATACTCACAGGTAAAAATTACTACAGCAAAAAAATTTAAAGCCAAAATCAAGTTCATAGCACGTTGTCACATATCTATAATCGCAGCTAATGGGGAGGTAGAGCAATGTAAGTGTGAGACCTACCTAAAAAACAAACTAAAAGAAAGTGCTGGGGGGCTGGGAAGGTGGCTCAGTGGTAGAGCGCTTGCCTTACATGCCTGAGGCCCTGGGTTCAATTCCTCAGCACCACATAAGCTAAAAGAAAAAAGCCGGAAGTGGCACTGTGGCTCAAGTGGTAGAGTGCTAGCCTTGAGCTGAAGAGCTGAGGGACAGCGCCCAGGCCCAGAGTTCAGGCCCCACGACTGGACCCAAAAAAATTAAATAAATAAATAAATAAAAGGATCCACAGGACTCAACATATACTCACAGGTAAAAATTACTACAGCAAAAAAATTTAAAGCCAAAATCAAGTTCATAGCACGTTGTCACATATCTATAATCGCAGCTAATGGGGAGGTAGAGCAATGTAAGTGTGAGACCTACCTAAAAAACAAACTAAAAGAAAGTGCTGGGGGGCTGGGAAGGTGGCTCAGTGGTAGAGCGCTTGCCTTACATGCCTGAGGCCCTGGGTTCAATCCTCAGCACCACATAAGCTAAAAGAAAAAAGCCGGAAGTGGCACTGTGGCTCAAGTGGTAGAGTGCTAGCCTTGAGCTGAAGAGCTGAGGGACAGCGCCCAGGCCCAGAGTTCAGGCCCCACGACCGGACCCAAAAAAGAAAAAAACAAAGAAAGTGCTGGGGATGTGACTCAAGTTGTGAAGTGTTTACCTTAAAAGTGTGAAAAAAGAAGGCAAAATTAGCTATGGAAAAAGCACTGAGCACAGTCCAAAGGAGACCAGTAATTGTATTCTCATGCAAATTAGAAATGTATAGATAGAATCACCAAAATACGTGTTCACAAATGTTCACAGCAGGAGAGTTCATGACAGACCCAAAGCTAGAAAGTACACAAATGTCCACCTTCAGTAGAACAGATAAATAAACTGTGGTTTGGGGGGTGAGGAGGAGAATATAGAGCTAGGGAAGTAGTAAAGGGATGCTGGGATGCTAGGAATCCTTCCGGGTGAGTGCAGTACCTTTACAAGTCCTGCCCTTTCTGTCAGGCATGTTCTAGTGCTTCAGTAGAAAGTTCTGGACTACAGAAAAGAAGGCAGTGTGTCAGACCACTCTGTGTTCACGTTAAATGACTTTTCACTTCAGTGAATTCATGCTGACTCAGGAAAAACACCGCCAGAAATGGTTACTTGAAACCAGGGCATACCTAACTTCTCCACTTCTTTCTCTTTCCCTTGCAGTTCATCTGTGAGCCTCTGGATCTCCTTATTGGCCAGCCCCATCCTCTTCATTACTTCTTCCACACCTTGCTCGGGGCAGGTTTGTGATATTTTATCTTTGTCCAGGTCTCCATTATGAGTCTGAAGTAAAACTACTGTGAGTAACAACAACAACAACAACAAACCAGCAAATGCATTCTTGTAACATTCTGTTATTTATTATAATGCTTAAAAGATAATAAAGTAGCAAATAATATTTCACTTATATGTGATTCTTTTGTTAGGTAGAATCATATAAAATTGGTGACATGTGATTGTTGTTTACTTGTAAATGTAAATTTCATATGGTTGGCTCTAACATACTTTAGAGACATTTACATGATTATGAAAAACAAATTTAAATAGAAAAGTGAATATATGGCAAAAAGAGAGATGGTACATTAACCACCATGTTTAACATGTTCTCTTATTAAACATTTTGTTTAATTTCAAAGTATGTACATCATTAACAAGGCTTAACTTATGCTAGAGGTCTTTGTTCAGAAATTATTCTTAAAGATTTCAAAAGCTGAAAAACTCAACTTCAATTACATTTTGCTTTTATTTCTTTTTTGCTAGTCCTGGGGCTAGTGCTTTACCACTTGGAGCCACAGCACTTCTTCTGGCTTTTTTTGTGTGATTAATTGGAGATAAGGGTCTCATGGACTTTCCTGCCAGGCAGGGCTGGCTTTGAACTGTGATCTCAGATCTCAGCCTCCTGAGTAAGTAGGATTACAGGTATGAGTCACCAGTACCTGGCTTTTAAAAAAAAATTCTTAAAGAGAACAAATATTGTACAAACCCAGGTCCTTGTGTATGGCAGGCAAATATTCTACCACTGAATCACACCCCTAACCTCCAATGTGATGCCTTAAAGGATATGATATTATTATACTGCCTACATACACTTTGACATATTCAATAAAAAAACAAGCTATTATGTTAAACAGATAACTTATTTTCCCCTCCAATATTTATGTGTTCATAATACTTTTATGCCCAGTTTGACCACGCTTACAGTATGCATCTACATGTTTTAATATATTCAGACAAATTCAAGGCAAAAGCCATTTGTTATTAGAAACTGTAATTAAGTAGAAGAATATAATTTTTTACCTCACTCAGACTGTTTTTACACTGCTGCCCAGGTTCTTGATGCTTCTGATGTTCTCTTTGCAGAGGCTGATATGTTTCTTCAAATTTCTCCTTATCCAAAATTTAAAAATAAAGTAAATATCAATCAATATTAAAGCTAATGTTATTTATACCCAAACCCCACGAGGCCAGCCAATACATTTTCAACAAAGCAATATTGATTTCGGAAGAGACAAAAATCTTTACTCTTTTGATAAGCCTACAGAACAAAGAGATAGGTAGTAAATCTGTAGTATTTATGTTTCATGTGAAAGCGATTTAGAAAAAAAATACCTACAAAGTTTTGTAGAGAGCCTATAAAGAAAAAAATGACTAAGTCTTGGCTTGGATTACAACCTGACAAAGGTTAAAAAAGTTAAACACACTTATCAAACGACTCTGCTACTCCATTCCTTGGGACAAGCACAAGAGAAATGAAAGCAAATGAACATTAAAAAAAAAAAAAGAAAGCAAATGTCCATAAACACTAATAGATGTTACAGTACCTTAGCCGAAAAATCACAGAACAATCTCACTCATAAACTGAGATCTGAAAAATCTTAAACATTTTTCTTAAACCTAATACAATAATTTTTAGAAACAATACCACATCATGAACACATGGGCTGATCCCAGGGCTGACTCTTCAGCTCTATAACCAAGGCAAGCATTTGTTCATTCGGAAATGTATTTACGACTCTCATATGGACCAAGGACATATACAGGTACTAAATCCAAATTCGTGTGTGTGTGTGTGTGTGTGTGTGTGTGTGTGGCCTGGGCACTGTCCCTGAGCTCTTTTGTTCAAGGCTAGCACTCTACCATTTTGAGCCACAGTGTCACTTCTAGTTTTTGAGTGGTTCATTGGAGATAAGAGTCTCAGGGTTTCTTCTCTGCCCTGGCTGGCTTTGAACTGTGATCCTCAGATCTCAGCCTCCTAAGTAGTAGTAGCAGGATTACAGGAATAAACCATTGGTGCTGGGGTTTCCAAATTCTTTAACTTAGCACATGAGTCTCTCTCATCAGGCTAGAGTTCCTGACAAAATATCCAGCATTTTTGAACAAATCTCCAGCATATCTCAGCAGTCACATGACCCAATATGAATTAAATACTCTGTGCATTTTTCAGAATGCCTTTACTTGGTTAGCACCTAATCAGCCTTCAAAGCTCCTTGCCATTACTTTCTCTGGAAGCCTTTGCCGGTCTCCCTGCCCATCCTCTCAGCCTTTCCCTGGAGTTTCCTGGCCTTCTGTGCCTCCTCCCATAAAACTATTCATACTGAACCATAACCACTAGCTTACTTCTTTCCATTGGTTTTCAAGTTCTTGAAAGTCCAGGTCATGTCTGATTGACCTCTGGTTTTTTTTTGTAGTATTGATGTTTAAACTTAGAGTCTTGCACTTTTTAGACAGGTGTTCTATTCCTTGAACCATACCCCCAGACCTTTTGGCTTTAGGTATTTTTTAGATAGGTTCTCATACTTCTGCTGAGGCACTCCACAGATTGCAACTCTACCACCACTTTCTAATTCACTGGGAGTACAGGCATGTACCAATGTGTCAAGTCCCAAATATGTATCCTGAAGCACAATTCAACTGTCTTCCTGATATTTTAATGTATAAATAAATAAATGGATGCAGGTAAAATTGGCTTTCTTCTTCTTCAATTATCTAGTTATTTTTTGAATACCTGGGGAAAATATTTCTGTAGGTTACTGCTCATTGTCTTTGAGACTCTGGCTTGGAGTCCACAAGTTCCAAGTTCCCCAAGATTGTACTTCTCTCTACCAGTACATGTGCAATCTGTTCACTGGGGCTTCTCAGAGCTATTTTGGACAAATCTTCTTGATACAACATTTTCAGTTTTCTTTATTAGGACTTCTGTTAGGAAGAAATAACAAAAAAGTGTTAAAGGAAATACAGATGGATAACATAAGATATTGAAGTTCTTAGATTTTAAGAATCAATAGCAGGGTGCCAGTGGCTCATGTCTGTAATCTTAGCTACTCAGGAGGCTGAGATTGGAGAGGTTGTGATTCAAACCCAGCCCAGGCAAGAAAGTCCATGAGACTCTTATCTCCAATAAACTACTCAGAAAAATCTAGAAGTGTTTCGGTGGCTCAAGTGGTAGCCTTGTGCACAGAAAGGCTCAGAAACAATGCCCAGGCCCCAAGGATCCAGGCCAAAAAAAAAGAATAAAAATAAGCCATACTGATATTATTACTTTCTTCCTCTCTTCCCAACATGCTTGCAAACTATCAGAAACAAGCCCCCAAACAAATAGCAGTAAAAAGGCTCTCCACAGCAGTAGACTTTCTCATGGCTATGGAGCTTTCCATCTCATAAGAGGGCAAGGAATTTTATTAGGTACTCAAGTTTGAGTTAACTTATATTTTTATTGTTTTACTGAGCACTTGTTATGTGGCAGGTATTGTACAAAGCAGAAAATCCAGGAGCTGAGGAGCTGAATCCGAGGGTATGGGCAAGGAGACCAGAAAAGGCTTTCAGAAGAGGTAATGTTGAAGAATTTTGAAAACTGATTAGGTCCTAGCCAGGTGAACAAGCTGGGAGAGACGTTTCTGGGAAAGGTTTGACACACATGTATCTCACTCTTTACTGTAACCTAAGGAGGTCAGAGCAATTCTTGTCCCTGTTTAAGCTATGAACATGCAGACAAGAAACCAAACAATATGTCCAATGTCACTCAACTAATCCTGCCTGATAATATCCAGATATCCTGACTTTTCAGCCCTTTTGCCAGTTAACGTATACTTCTACCCCACGTCAGACACTCATTCCACAGTAATTTCCTAGGCTTTGTCATTACCACTAATGGTAGTGTCTTCTCAGTCTCAAGCATCCTATCTTCTTTTTTTTTTTCAAGCATCCTACCTTCTAACCATTCCTTCCTGTGTACTTCTAGCTGCTCAGTATCAACAAATTTTCAACATACCATAAACTACAACCTATTGGTCTTACACACTTTATAAAGTTCCTTACCTTGCTCCTTTTCTCATTTGCATTGCTTTGTTTTGTTTTATTGAGACATGGTCATGCTGGCCTCAAACTTGTAGTCGTCCTGCCTCAGGAGTGCATCACTGTGTCTGGTTCTCATTTATTTTTACCCAGCTTAAACCACATGGTCCACAATTATAATCCCTCTATTGAAAATATTCAGAATTCTCTTGTCTGTCTTTCTTTCCATTATAATTGCTTGGCAAAGTTGTAGTCTGTTTAAATACAACTCTCCAGAAACTGCAGGGCTAGAGAATACAGAACAGCCAGCAGTTTGGTATGATTTTAAATTCATGTCCACTAACCCTTAGTGACATCTTAACACTGCTCAGAAATCATCTACATATCCCTTCTTACCTTCTTTCTCTCATTCCTTATACACTTGGACCATTATTTCACTGCCTCTTTTTCCTCTAGTCTCCATCACCTCCTTTTCCATCCTCATTTTCATCTGATCAACCTACTTCCTATTTCACTGAGAAGTGAAGCTCTCCAAAGAGAACTTCCACAAGCTCACCTTATAAAATCTACCAACTCCTGCATATTCTTCCCTCTTGCAAAAAAATAACGAACTCTCTATACTCCTAAAGCCAAGCCAGCCATTCCATCCTCCTACTTTTCAATCCCTTATTAGCTAATTTATATTTGTAGGAAGATGTTGGTAGTAGGACAATGGGATGCATTGGACCCTATTCCTTTTCATCTTTTTTTCTGGCCCTGGGGTTTAAATGCAGGGCCTGGGTGCTATCCCTAAGCTTTTTTTGTTTAAGGCTACTGCTCTACCACTAGAGCAAAAGCTCCACCTTTTGGTGATTAATTAGAGTCTCAGACTTGGGGCTGGGAAGGTGGTTCAGTGGTAGAGTGCTTGCCTTGCATGCCTGAGGCCCTGGGTTTGATTCCTCAGCACCACATAAGCAGAAAGAAAAAAGCTGGAAGTGGTACTATGGCTCAAGTGGTAGAGCACTAGCCTTGAGCTGAAGACCTGAGGGACAGCGCCCTGGACCAGAGTTCAGGCCCCACAACTGGACCAAAAAAAAAAGGGGGTCTCAGACTTTTCCTGCCCAGACTGGCTTTGAACTGAGATGTTCAGATCTCAGAGTAGCTAGGATTACAGGGATTACAGACATGAGACCCTGATGCCCGGCTCCTTTTTATTTTTTGCCAGTCCTGGGGCTTGAACTCAGGGCCTGGGCACTGTCCCTAAGCTTCTTTTTTTATTGTGATAATACAGAGGGGTTACAATTACATGGGCAAGGTAATGAGTACATTTCTTATCAAGCATTGTTGCCTCCTCCTTTGTTGCCCCTTCCCATCCCTTCCCATCCCCCCCGCCCCCCCGCACCTGCCAAAGTTGTAAAGTTCGTTTTTCCACATAACAACTTGTACATCTCATTGTTGCAATGGGTCAACCTGTATTCTTATTTAAACAATATTTTTTTGCCCTTCCCCTCCACAAATTATACCAACATCAAATACAGTGAAAGCAGGGGTTATACCGTGGGGGAGGGACATATAAAGCAACAAAGAAATCATCTTATAAATATGTTAGAAAAAAATCACATGAAAGAAAAAACATTTGAATACTTATCCTGGGGTTCATTTCACCTAACATCAACTTATCTGACCTTTTCTGTTTGTCTCAGACATCTATTAGTTATTGCGAATAAGGGAAACCATGGGACCTATGCTTCTTTGGGCCTGGCTTACTTCACCCTAAGCTTCTTTTGCTCAAGTCTAGCACTCTACCACCTAAGCCAAAGTGCTATTTCTGGCTTATTCTGTTTATATGGTACTGAGGAATTGAACCCAGGGCCTCAGGCATGCAAGGCAAGCACTCTACTACTAAGCCACATTCCTAGCTTTCCTTTTTATCTTGAAGACAGCACTTTTGGGCTAACTAGTGGAGTACTTGCCTAGCATGCAGAAGGCCCTGGGTTCAATTACCAGCAATTCAGAAAAAGAAAAGGGAGGAAAGGGGAAGATGAGGGGAGAAAAGGGGAATAGGGGAGGAGGAAGTGAAGGAGGAAGAGGATGAAAAGGAGAAAAATTAAAAGAGAAGGAGGAGGAAGAGCAGGATACTTGGAGGGGACTGCTTCCTCTATATTGCTTCATGAAGCTTTCTTCCTAATTGAGCATTATAATCATCTTAGGGACATCCTTTATCTAACAAACTTTAAAAAAAAATCTTTCCATCTAATGTTCCCCCTCCAGCTTCTACTCTATTTCTACATTCTTCTTTAAGAAAAACTTCAAAAAAGGATAAGCCAAACATGGTTCTCCTCTTCTTCTCCTACTATCCTTTCCATAGTTCAATCTGGATTTCATATCTACCAAGCCACAGAAAGAGCCCAAGTTCACAATAATCTCTGCGTGGCCAAATGCAGTGATCACTCATTAGTTTCCATTCCACATACCTATCCTGGTATTTGACTCCATTGTTTATATTTTTCCTTCATATAGTCATCATTTCTCTGCTGGGATTCCCACATTCTTCTGGGTTTCCTTTCTTACGTGCCACTCCTCAGATTCCTTCACTGACATCTCATCATTCCATTCTCTAATCACTGGAATGTTCCTGAACCCAACCCTAGACATCTTGCTTTCTTTACATTTACTCTCTGGGTCATTTACTGTAAGTAATGCCAAAGCTTTAAGTATTAGCTGTATGTTGATGATTGCCAGTTATATATCTCCAGTTTACATTGCATTCCAAACATGTATGCATTTGTCTGCTTGGCATTTTCACATGGATGTCTAATATATACCTCAAAACTTAAACTCTTCATTGGGGGGAGAGGGGGGAGGCTGGGAAGGGATGTGAAGGGTAAACAAAGGAGGAGGCTTCAATGCTTGGTAAGAAATGTACGCATTATCCTGCCCATGTAATTGTAACTCCTCTGTACAGCATGTTCACAAATTAAATAAAATTTAAATTAAAAAAAACTTAAACTCTTCAAAAGCAAACCCTTTCTGTCTCACCTAGGCAAAGCATCCCATATTTCTTCTACCTGAGCAGTTAGAAATGCAAATCTAGCTGCTCAAGCCAAGAAGCTTTGGGTCAACAGTAACATCTTTTCCTTTTCTTCCATTCCACATCAAATCCACCAATAAAATATGTAATCTCTACCTTCAAAATGTATTATTTGGTAGTGAGAAAGAGTTTTATTTATAAAAATCTTTAGGACACAACTCAGAAGATCTATGTAGTGACTAGGAACAAGATATATTTAACAAATTATCTCATCTTTTTCTATAAGGTTTAGTAAGTATGACAGAGCATAGTAATCTTTAGAAGCAGTAAATCTTTTCTGTACTGGAAATTGGACCTAGAGCATAGTTCTTTATTACTGAATCTTGCTAGCCCTCTTAAATTTTGATTGGATCTGTAGTTTTATTTTAAAGAAAGCAAGAATAGAATGAGCTGTAGGACTTTACTTTCAAGAATATAGTATCATGAAATTTACATAGTGATGTGAACACGGGTACTTACAATCTTTTTTTTTTTTCAGAGTTACAGTATTGATGCCATAATCAAATCATTGGCCAAAGTTTTAAACTGCCAGATTTTCTAGACTAGAGGGTGAAGAAGTGGCATTTCTATTCTATCTCTACTGGAGCTTGTGGTGTAAGTAGCTGCCATCAGGTAAATGCTTTTGCCCAGAAGAACACTGTAGATCTGTTAATGTTAGAACTAAGAGGAATCTTGACATTTAAAAAAACTGGGCTGGGAAGGTGGCTCAGTGGTAGAGCGCTTTCCTTGCATGCATGAAGCCCTGGGTTCGATTCCTCAGAACCACATAAGCAAAAAGCAAAAAGCCGGAATTGGTGTTGTGGCACAAGTG